GCAGGCTGCTGCCTGAGAGGTGGTAGAAGATGGAGTGTCTCCATGCTGCTTTGTTTTGGTCACTTATGTGCGTGAGGCGAGTGGTGTTACGGGTTAAACCAAACTCAGGTGATATTTTACACTAAACCGAAAACCCACAACACTCTAAATGTAATAAAAGGGAGATCTACACCACAAAAAAGATGAACTCTAAACCAAAACGTAACAGCTTATCCCAACGCAAGAAGCTGTTAGCGAAGATGCTAACAGTAGCTTTACCAACGTTAAGTTCAAGTTACCAAGTTTAAATAAACCAAAAACACCCAGCAGCAAACAGACCAGCACGGAGGAGAGACTGCTACCACCAAAACAGCTCTCCTCATGTCTGAAAGAAGCTCCTTAATGAAGGGAGAAGCGCTCCCGGTGATTTTCTACATCTGCGATAGACACGAAGCAGCGCATCTGACCCCGGAAGTTGTTGTCCGTTGCCGGGAGACGAAGGCGGGCAAAACAGGAAAGGAATCTAGTAGTGGACGGACGTTGTTCCGGGTCTTCGGTATTTGGCGGAGATGTTAGTGAAGGCGGAGAAGTGGGCGAACTAGAGGAAAAACAGGCAGATTCTTCCTCTATTTACAAACTCCTGGGGATGCAACAAGTGGGCGCGGTGCGTCGACTTCCGGATCTGACGTCGACAAATTTTTAGAATCGAGCCGTCGACTTCGTCGAGGCTTCGCTACAGCCCTACTGACATCTGAGACATATATATATGTAGAGCCATGCCCCGATGTGGGGGCTGGGGGGGGGGGGGGGGGGGGTCGACATGGTCGGGACATAGAAGGGGGTGCGCGGCTAAATAAGTTTGGGAACCACTGTCCTAACACATGGATGGTCTGCTTCCTGATCATGTGATCTGTGACGTATGCGGATGAAGATCGGCTTCAGGGCTGAGATGTTTGTTCTCTCAGCGCGGGGGCTCGTTCCGATGCTCAAACAGTAAAAACATGCAAATGACGACTTTAGTCGTCATTGGCAGTGAATGAGTTAATAATGTAAAAAAAACAGCAAAGTCAGCTTTATAATGGGGCTCAAGCATCAAGCTGCAATTCCTTTGAAATTAATCAGTAATTCATAATTAAAATAATAGTTATTTCATTTGCACCATCCAGGCCTGATAATAACGCTGACATGTACACCAGGAATTTAATTGAAGTCCATGCGTATGAGACCATATGAACTCAGCCTCACAACAATAAACTACGGGCAGAAAAACTTTATGAAAAAAAGGCTGAATAACGGAAGTGGTAGTTATTTGTCAGCAAAGCCGCAGCTAACGCTGTTAAGTTATTGCTACTAGTTTTATAACTCTGTCATAGGGCTGGGCGATGTTGCCTAAAATCAACATAAATAATAAATGGACGGTAACTACAGGTATGCGCATAAACAAAAGTTGACCACTAGATGGGGCTGTCACGTGTATCACGTTTAGTCACATTTTTACGTGACTCAAGTTGGTACGGCTTCTTAAAGAAACATGAACGTTGCCAACCTACACACATCTTTTCTTTAATTATAAAATGTATTAATATGGGAGAAATTATCTCTTTAAGAGTCAGAAATTTTGATAAGGATACATTTTCAATTTATTGCCAATTAATTGCCCAGCCCTACTCTATCGTCATAAATTATACTTCAACTATTCAGATTAGTGACCTCTTTTAGTTTAAAAAAGGAAGACAACCATTCAATGATTACACCATCTTCTCTACCCCATCAGCAAAAAATAAAACTTTAAATCTAAATGGAACCAAGGAGATGATGGTAAAACAAGGTAAGCGCCCCCTTGTGGCTGGTTCCAGCTCAAATATTAAAAGGTATAGCAAAAGATGGCCTTGTTCCAAATGAGCAATGCCTCACCTGGAAAAAAAGACAAGAGCAGACGGACGCGGCAGGGGGAGTGGCTAAAAGCCGGCACTAAGGTCGGACAGATTTTCCTACGTGAAGCTCGTGGGTGATGATGGATGAAGATATTGCGTTAGCGTTCACACTTGTTTAATTTTTCATTTTATTTCTGGTGCCTGTTAGCAACTGAATAACATATTGTAGACGTGCACATGAAGATATGACTGTAATCATAAGTAAAGGTTAGCAGCTGTAGATTTTTTGTGTGACAAAAGAACACAAATCCTCTGTATGGCCTATATAGCTGTCATCATCAACGTAACATGATTTACAGAATACATATGAACAACTAACATTTTGCATTCTACCACCAGGTGTTTGGATCAAAATGTGAACCAATCAGATCTTAGATCAGGTGAGAGCCAGGGGTTTCCCGCTATGCCCTAGGGTTTGCAGCCGGTGGAGAGCAACTGCAGCGCCTTGATCTCACGAGGTTATTGTTGCTTACATAGGCATGGCGTCAGAGCATGCCGGGGTCAAGTCGGACACAAATCTAACGGGCATTCACTGCGTGCCAATCACCGGTGATTTCATCTGCGCAGAACTGGCTCATCTCGAACACGGCCGATGTTTCTGAATTTCAGGAAAGAACCGCCAGCTCCTCATTTTGGAAAGAAAAATGCGCATGGGAAGAACACCCAGTTATCCTTGTTACAAGTAGCTGCCAGCCTCAGCAAAAGATGAAGATCACGATCTGATGAGACCAACAGGACCACATCATCTGCAAAAAGCAGAAGCCTGATCCTTAAGCCACCAACACGGATCCCCTCAACGCCTGAGCTGTTCTGAACTTCTGGGCCAACTGCCTTTTGTTTTTAGAGTGATGACGAGTACAATCCTTCAAAATGCATTAAAAATAACACGGACAACTTCACTCAATACTAAATTCAACACTCCACCCAACAAAACCCTGGCTCAGCTTCAGTCTGCTCGTGAGGCTTTTAAACCTTTTCACTTTAATCACAAGCCTCTTTTAGAGGCAGAAAAGCCTTTGACTGCTGGCTGCAGTCAGAAACATCTGGCATGTACCTTCACAGTGACGTTCAAACACAACACCGTGCCGTTTTATTGATTTAGGCAGAGTTAAGATCCAGATCACAGGCATGTTTCATGTTTCAAGACAGCTGGAGCGACTGAAGTCGATTCTACATATGAGGGAGGGAATTCAAATGAAAACAGGAGGAAAAAAAACACTAACCAAAGGAAAATGTGAGGAGTTTAGAATGAAAAGAGGAGGGCGATAAATCAACATGAAGGGAAACAGCAAGACAAGGCGAAAGGGTTGATGGAACAATTAAACCAAATGCAGAAAAGATAAAACGAAACAGGTGTGGCAGACGTCCCAGTCCACACCACCTATCTGGTTGTGTCACCGTGGAAACTGACTTGTTGTCTTTTATTGTTGATCATCCAACTCAGAATGAAAGGAGGGAACCTGAATCTGTCCGGGATGTTCTTTTATTAGATTGTTAGAGGACCAAATCCATCCATCCATCCATTTTCAGCCGCTTATCCTGAGTCGGGTCGCAGGGGCAGCAACCTAAGCGGGGAGGCCCAGACTTCCCTCTCCCCAGCCACCTGGGCCAGCTCCTCCAGGGGAATCCCACTGCGTTTCCTGGCCAGCTGATAGACATAGTCCCTCCAGCGTGTCCTGGGTCTTCCTTTAGGTCTCCTCCCTGTCGGACGAGTCCTTATTTAGCGTTTGATCTACCTTCCTACTCTCACCTGTGGTCACAAGCTTTGGGTAGTAGCTTTGGATACAAGCAGCCAAAATTAGTTTTCCCCGCAGAGTGGCTGGACTCTCCCTTAGAGACAGGGTGAGGAGCTCTGTCATCCGGGAGGGGCTCAGAGCAGATTTGCTGCTCCTCCACATCGAGAGGAGCCAGTTGAGGTGGCTCGGGCATCTAGTTAGGATGCCTCCTGGTCACCTGCCTGGTGAGGTTTTTTGGAACTTCGCCTTCCGGCCCAGCTTTCTCGTCACCACGACAGATCGGTATAACACCTGCATCGCTTTAGACGCAGCACCAATCCTCCAACCGATCTCATACTCCATCATTCCCTAACTGGTGAACAAGACCCCGAGATACTTAAACTTCTCCACTTGAAGCAGGACTTCGTACCTGACCTGAAGAAGACAATCTACCCTTTTCTGACTGAAGACCATGGTCTCGAGGACCAAACCACTACATAATAATCAATTCTGTCTCATTTTGCTTTTTAAAGAAATTGTCTCAAGATTATTATATTTTTCTCTAACTTTCTTAAAACATTTATCATAAAAAATTAAGAGCAGATTAGAGTCTAATCTAGACAGAAACCCCTGATGTAATCCAAACGAGCAATTTCTGTATACCTTGTATTGTACAAGGTTTATGGACAGATGAGAGGAATAATTGGTCGCAACCTGCAGAATCATAATATAAATGACTTTATTTGCTAGTTTTTATTATAACAGCTCGACATTATCAGATAAACAGCAAGCTTGCTCGTTTTAAAACCTGCAAGATTTAGAATTAAAACAAATAGTCAAAGTTTTAAAATAGCGGCTGATTATTTTTTCATGAACTCACTTCCTAATTAGTACTTTATGAGTTTCCTGTTCCTGGATGAAAAATCCAACGTAGCTTAATTTTAAGGTTTTAATTATTATTTGAGTGAATGTGAGCATAACTTTGAACAAAACAATGAAATGAATCTATATTTTGGAAAGCCGGATTGTTGCAGCTGTTCGTCCTGTGTTATTGATCTGATGAGACATGAACCATACAGAGTCAAAGCAACGGTGGCTCATGCAGCACGCTGATAGGCTGCTCTAGTGTTTGGTTACCTGGGTTAAAATGAAACGCTTTTTCATTTATTTATTTAATTTTTGCAAGACCATGGCCTTGCAAAAACACTGCAGCGTTTCACTCCCCCTCCCCCTCCTAGATAATTACCAGACTAATGATGTCACCTGTAAATTAGAGTAACAGGGAGGTTTGTTTTTGTGCAACAGGATCTCGACAATCCAGTCATTAAGTTCTGATCATCGTAATTAGATATCAGAAGGTTTTTGTTCTTACCTTCATGTCTCCAATGACGGTCTGGAAGAGCCCCCCCAGCGCGCTGCACTCCCTCTCCATCACCGTCTCCATCTTCAGCTGTGTGAACGGAAATTACCAACACGCTTCACTGGCAACTCCTGAAGTCCATACGCAACGCGTAACAAACACAGCCACGGGAAAGGTGAAGGTCGGTGCCAATCAGAGCGCTCAGCGTCGCGCAGCGGGGTTTCCCCGGCTGATGGAGCCCGAAACACGGACGGAAGGTGCAGAGGAGCCGGTGGATGTCCGCTCGGAGCCGGTTGGTCCCATGTCCACTGGAGGAGGAGGGGAGACCGGTGGAGAGCAGCAACTTCACACCGAGCTGCGCCTCCGGTGTCTGGGGGGTGGGGGTGTGGAGGTGGGGGGGTGGGGGGGGGGGGGGTGGGGGGGAATCTGGGTGTTGTCTTTTGACTCATTCTGAGCCAATCACAGCAGCTTAGTGAAACCTTAAAAAAAAAGCTTTGAATGACAAATAAAATAAATAAGCCTAATGCCATAATCACACTCTCCTTATTGCATTCTATAATTAAGTTTCACACAATAAATAAATTTCACGTTCATGTTTAACTTTGAACAGTGAATTGAAATGGTTTAAGTCTCGTTACCAATAAAGCTTTGGTTTGCCATAATGTTTCAACTACATTTTATTTTATTTTAAATTAAATATTTGATCAGAAAGTTTGTGGTTCTTTTGGATGAAAGTTAAAAGTAAAGATCTTTTTTTAATCACACTGTATTTAATACCTTTTAATTATTGAAATGTGTACATTTTCAGCGTTTTCAATGTTTTAGTTTTCTTGTTCACTCTTTTTTTAATCTTTTTGCTCCAATAGGGAATGAAATTTCTGCTGCGACACCAAATTTTCTCCACAGAGTGACAATAGTTTTTCTACCAGCACAACAGATACGTGCTTTTTTTGTCACGTAGATGTTGCCATCTAGTGGAAATACGAATGAACTGCAGCTAATTGATTACTTTATTTTTTTAACAGAATTAAGGAAAGAAAAACTGGCTGAATGTATTTTTCATTAAATGTGTGAAATTATTGAAATACTCTCCTTGATATTCTAGCAATAATCATTGGATTCACTCCTTTTTTTCTGTCTGAAGAGCTGTTAAGGACTAAAATAGGCTGCTCTCAAGACTATCCATTAGTGATTGATTAGTTAGGGATCCAATCCACCTTTATTTGTATAGCACTCTATACACAACACTGTCAACCAAAGTGCTTCACACACAGATAAAAACATACCGGCATAATTAAAAACAGCATGGGTAATATATTAAAACATAAAAAAACATTGTAAAATAAATAAAACACAACACTGCTTAAAGACAAGAATGGATAAGAATTATCAGTCAGTGTTAAAAGCCAGTGAGATGGACCATAGGTCTACAGGATGTGAGGAGAGATTCTGCAACAATTTATGAAAAAAATCCATAAAGGGGAGCAAAAGTGATAAATAAGTTAACTGCACAAACAGCTGCTTCAATGAAAAGTTTGATCTTAACAAAAAAAAAACATTTTTTTAAAGATGACTACACACACATGAGAACAGGAACAAGTACAGATTAAATTAAATGTCCTAAACCAAAGAGCCCGAATCAGTGGTAAACAGGTTTCAACCATCGTGCCAGAGGTGAGGCTCAAATACTCGTCCGAATGTTCTCAAGCGTTATATTTATTATTTTTATTAAAATCTTTTCCTGTCAGCTGCTTTTTATAATTTTCCCTCCTTTAGTTTGTCCTTAATGTTGAATTTTTGCTCAAAGATTTCAGGCGGGCACAAAGAAAAGCCAAATTCCAAGAAACTGAACAGAACTGGAGAATTTCAGGGCTGCAGGAAGAGCTCCAGCTGGTGAGTTGTTTTTTCTTTTGGGAGAAAGATCGATGATCAGATGGAGTTGGCAGTGCTCTCATTTTAACCCAAAACCCACCACTTAATGACAGGGAACAAAACACACATGGTGACACGTCTGTGCCTATAAGCAGGGTTCTCTTTCATTATCCTCCCTAAAAAAGGAGAACAATGACCTAATAATAAGCTATCAGAGTGGCAGAGGGGCAACGATGGGCCAAACCGTTACAGCCGGAGATTTGGAGACAAGGTTAGAGATGGGCTTTACTGTACCAACAAGGGTCTTTAGGCTTTAGACCTGAAAGTGTCAAAACCATAAAATTCCAACCTTCAGAGACGACTCAAAACCCTGCTTGGATGTCATGTCTAAATTTATTTCACATTCTTTAAAAAAACATTTTTTATGCATCATTTTAGAATAATTTGAATTACTAATTTAACTACATTGAACTCAGTTGGAATTTAATTTGTATTTTTTCCCTTCTCGTTCAACAAATCAGTTTGTTTTGATTACTTTTGTAATAATTGGATCTGTTGTTGTAAAGAAGAAGAAATGAGCCAAATCTTCAGATCTTTGGCATCAACGAGCAACCTCTGAGGGATGGAGCACATGCCTTAACCACCGAATTGTCTCCAGTACAAAGAAATGATTTGAACAAAAACCGTGTTTTGACTCAGAAGCTGCAGGTGTGCTGCTGGAGAATCGCATTTTACAGACGGAACCGGCTCCCGAACCGAGCCGAATAGTAACGCACCGGTGCGAGGGGGTAAACAGCGCGTGCATCGGAGGAACCGGACTGATGCCTTTAAACAACTGCGGTAAAAGTGCAGCTGTTTAAAGAGCAAGTCACCCCCTACAAGAAACTTACTCCACTCCCACTTCATGTTTGAAAAATGCAACAAATGTTGTTGCTTGGCAGACCGAGAGGGCGGAGCCGCTAACAAATACACACACACAAACACAGGCTCACAATGGCATTGTGACATCATAATGTACCAGATAACATCATAGCATACCTTTTAGCCAGTAGCGGTGGCAGATTTAAATTCAAATACAGTGCAGAATTTTTCCCTGACGATGGCGCAACACTGACAGTTTTAGGCAGAATATTTGAATTTTAACCAAGATGCACTGAACTGCCAAATTATTGATGACACGTGTCTGCAGCACGATTAGACACTCCTTTATATAGTTTATCAGCAAAAAAAATGTTATTTGGGGGTGACTTGCTCTTTAACCTCCTCATTATAAAGTGCACACACACGCTCGCGCTGCAAAGCGCAATATTTTTAATTTATCTGGAGTATAAATATATTTTTTACTCTAGAACGGACACGATTGAAACTGTAGCGAAGTACAATACTTAAAAAAACGCTTAAGGTAAAATAAAAATCACGAAAACGTCAGAGAGACCTACACGGGTTCTTGAGGTTCAAATAGAAGAGGGAACTCTTCAATTTGGACTAAATCCTGAGGTTTGCCTGACTGCAGCCTTTTCCCTGGCATTTTCCACTGAGTGGAGTTGCTGAGGGCAAACCAAGCCCCCACAATGGAGCTCCAAAATTGAGTCAAACCCGGAAGTACCAAAAGTTGCAGTTCCACCCTCATCCACTAGGGGCTGGTGTCAGAAGCGAGCAAATCCTCATCGACTCCCATGTTAAAAAATACCAATTTCACAGCAGAAATAAACATGTTTACAGCCTGGTACCAAAACATGTTTTTGGTTTAAATGATCTAGTTTACATTCATGACAACTCTGAGGGGGGTGAATTTTTTTCTCACTCTTCTGTTTAAGTGTATTAAAAGCCTAAAATTCTGTATAATTAATGAGCATCAGACCCACGTGACCACAAAGCTAGCTCCGTGGAAAGGCCTCAGTAGAGCCTCGGTCTGGCTTGGAAACTGCTCCGGCATTTTGAGTCTGTGTGTGTGTATTCTTTTTTGGATATTATTTGTGCAATTGTTGGACAAAATGACTTGTGGCATTAATTGCACTAATAGAGCGTCCAAGGAGTCTCCACTTCATTTTTTTCAGTAAGTAAAAATATATTTATGTATTTTAGGTCACTGCCGAGCTGAGCTTAGATTTTAACATGTACTGTTTAACCATGAAATTTAAATGTAATAGGGTAAAACCAAGCCCCCACAATGCGGCTCTAAAATTGGTCCCAACCCGGAAGTACCAAAAATTGCAGTTCCACCCTCATCCACTGGGAGCTGGTGTCAGAAGCGAGCAAATCCTCATTGACTCCCATGTTAAAAATACCAATTTCACAGCAGAAATAAACAGGTTTACAGCCTGGTACCAAAACATGTTTTTGGTTTAAATGATCTAGTTTACACTCATGACAACTCTGAGGGGGGTGAATTTTTTTCTCACTCTTCTGTTTAAGTGTATTAAAAGCCTAAAATTCTGTATAATTAATGAGCATCAGACCCACATGACCACAGAGCTAGCTATCATTTTAACATGTAGCATGTACTGTTTAACCATGAAATTTAAATGTAAAAACGGTAAAATAATTAATAGGGCATATGTCAATGGGTAAAACCCAGTGCATTTAACATAAAAATGGGTTGAAATTGTTGAAATATGACGGAGCGCTTGGAGGGACACTTCTGTGTTCCATTCTTCCATCCGGTTCTCCCCAGCGGTCAGGCCGGTGCATGTCTGACCGATGCGGTGCCTAGCTGCTGCGCGGGCTGACCGCTCGTGGAGCTCTCGGATTCAGAGAGAGACCTGACCGCAGAAATACTGCAGCTCGGTGAGTTGTTTGATAGTGCTTGATGTTAGTCTCCAGAAGTCTATAGGGCATACAGGGTTTCCCCTAAATCCCACCGCCACGCCGACAAGATCCCAAATTTTTTTTGTTTTTTTGTTGGCGCTGTTTCCCGAAGAAGCAGCGGGAACTACTATGTTGTCGTTTGTGATCACAGCCGGCGGGCAGCAAGGAGGAGCAGGCCGGGCAAGGTGCAGTTACAGCATAAGTTACTGAGTTTAAAATTAGAAAGGTAGCAGTGGATATAATGCTTTTTGGTTTACATGTTTCAGCAGCATTAAGATAAACGAGTGTTGACGATCTAGACAGGGTTTCCTCCAGTGCTTACTAGGCCAGATTTTCCTCCCCCCACCAGGCTAAGCATCACTTATTCATGTAAAATGTATTTATTTTTTCATGTCTGACTTTAACAGCATCTAATACTGTATTACTGCGTGAGCGCAGCAGCGACAACTTAAGATCGATGTATGAGCAGCCTGAGAGGTCGGGTGTTTTCATCTGAACCCTTAAAACCTCCAGCAGGCTACGCTGCACTATTGACGTGTTAGCGCGCGGCGCTAACAACTTAGCAACGTGTGTCTCGGAGAAAGCGTGAAAACACGTTGGACGCTTCTTCTGAAGTGGGAAAATAACACCTCTTCTTAAGCAGAGCACGACATCGCCTCGGCTCGATCACGGCCGTGCCAGACGGAGCTCGACAACATTGATCCAGCACA